TTTCACAAAGTGAAAATTTTCAAAACTACCTCCCAGACATAATAATCTAAAGAAATTACTTCCTAAAATTTGGATCCTAATTCTTATGCCAGTCAGCACCCTCTGATACCCAACAGACCTCTGTGAATCCAGAGTAATGGTTCCAGACACATGGCTTGGTAATTACCACTCCAACAATTATTGTTACTCAGAAGTCAATATGATAGATGACGGTCAGTCTACTCTTGCCCAACTCATTTTTATTAAAGGGCTTTATTTGAAACAGCCTTATAAACTCTCAGTTTTTCACAAGTACTTTTTGTATTTGAAGTGTCACACTTCCACATTACAGGAAAAAGTTCAAGAGATGATTACAAACAATTGTATTCGATACAATTTTTAATGTGCTCAAAGTCAGCAAGGCATAGAAAGTTCATTAGCAGAAAGAAGAGAAAAAATGAGGTGAATAAATGACTTATTGTGAGAAAGAAACATTTGAAAAAAAGGTAATCTGCCACTGTGTTTTCTCATTTATAAAATATGAATTTTCTATCTCTTGTTGTTTTAAGTTTGGGAATCCAAGGCATTCAATTTAGCTGGGCTTTGAATCAATAGAAAACATTGGCAAAACAATATGCACAACACATCAGGACATAGAATTATGACTCATTTGTTGAGTCCTGAAGAACTATATGAGAAGTAACATGTAAGAGATTTTGACATAGCTTACTGATAGAACATTAGTGTAGCATGCACAAGATTCTGGGGCTTGATCTCCAAAAATGAATAAAGAAATATTCCAGCAAAACTTAACATCCAAGATTGCTACAATAGTTTAAAACAATACTGATCTAAATGTGAATCTTACCCTGTCACAATTTAAATGCAATACTATATTTGTAGTCACAGCATCATGTAAAGCACATGTAGATGAGCTGCTTCACACAGGAGAGCAAACTATTCAAGCCTGTGTGCGTCTGATACACTGAAGCAGCATCTATCCTACAAATACAGACTATTATTATCTTCTGAAATTGTGTCCAGACATGGCTAATGTGTGGCTTTGGTAGAGCTTTTTTCTTCTCAATTTTAAGATATGTATATCTATATCTATGTGGAGAATATAGGAAATATACAGCATTGTAGTTACATTAACAAAATACATGCTCACAACTTTATAATGAAATCATACTCAAATTCATAGTATTAACAAATACTTTAAAAAATTCACAGAGATTTGGATAAAGTCTAATATTTGATCAGAAAAAATAATTATAAGTACAAAGACAATTAGAATACAGAAAAGTGATTTAATTCAGACACCTAAAAAATAAACCCAGAAAAATAACCCAGTAAATGTATAGTACCTGTGTTAGTCAGTGTTCTATTGCTGGTTTATTCCATTGTCATCATGATGGGGAGCAAGGTGGTACTCAGGCAGACATGGTGGTAGAGAACTAGCTGAGAGTTCTATATCCAGATCCACGGACAACAGGAAGAGAGAGAGGCCCTGGACCTAACCTGGGCTTCTGATACCTCAAAGCTCCCACAACCTCCCCAGTGACACACCTCCTCCAACAAGACCACACCTTCTAATCCTTCTAAATAGTGCCACTCCCTGATGACTAAGCATTCAAATGTTTGAACCTATGGGGGTCATTCTTATTCAAACCACCATAGTACATGTATACTATGTATTAGCTTTCTCACAGTCCTCATGTGTCAAAGGCATGTTTACACTGTACAATTTAAAGATACACTTAAATTGAAACACACATATATTAACTGCAACATCATAATTATGGTATTTATATGTTACTATACTATTTATATATTATATACTATTTATGTATTTATATACATAAAGTTCAGATGCTAATGATCCAGCAGAAAAGGTTTCTTACATGCTAAAAATCAAATGTGTCTCTCTTTACCTATTTTTATACAATATATTATCTTACATTTGTATATGTACATTTCTATTTCTGTGTGTGTATGTGCACATTTGAGACATTTTTTATAACTAACAACGTATCTTCAAATATGGCTCTAATTGGTAGCTATATGAACTGGGTTAATTTTTCTATGATTCTGCTTCTTGGTAAAATGAAGATAATAACATTGCTACACTTTAATATTGTGAGAAATAAATGAATCTATACAAGCAAAATTGTTCTGATAAGTAATGTATTTCTAATCAATGTTGGCTGCTGTTTTGTTGTGACTTTGTTAAAGCCTTTTTCAGGAACACTCCTTGATAACCACCCTACACTAAGAGGCCTGGTAGAGCAAGTTAGCTGACTGAGATGTGAGTGTTCTGGTCCCATTTCTCTGCTCCCTTCAGGCTAAGAACGTAAGTGACTACGGTCACTTGATTAGGTGAAGTTTAGGGATTAGAGCTTCATTTCACTCTCTTTATGTCCCTAATCTTACCATAATACTGGAGATTTGTTTTTCACTTGAAAAGGACCTCTAAGTGGATGCACACTGTAGACATGACAGGAAATATCATGAATATCTTCAGTCTACTACACAGTGAGAGGATCCCTAAACAGAGTCAGGTCTAAAACAGAAAGAGACTACTGTGGTCACTGGACTAGGGAGAGCTCATATAAACATCACACTTTGGCAGCCAGAAACAGCAGAGTCAGAACTGGCTGTACATTTATAATCAAGTCAGTCTTGAAATACTTTTGAAAAGGCATTAAGATGAAGGCCAGAATGTCACTTTCAGGGTCATATTCAAAAAGGTTTCCTAGACATGAAACAATAGAAGAAATATAATTTTCTGTACCAATGTTAGTTTGAGGGATAAATCATCTTATTTGTGTAGCACTAAATTATTCATATAAATGTGATGTGTGGGCAAACTCTCTTAAAGAAAACTAAATAATTATGGAGCATTTGATATATCCCAGGCACCAAATTAAATGATTTTTCATTCCTTAATCAAAATAATTTTGTTTTATGTTATTGGCAATATTTTATTTTATTGATAGTACTATCATTGTCTTATGTTGTTGAATAATAGATGAAATGCAACTTTGGATTTGGGGTAGTTTTGAGCAAGGAACAGTAAGAAAAGCAGGTAGTGAGCCCTGCTTGGTGAGTTTATTATCAGGCACCTCTCAGTGTCCTTACCTGGAAAGGTACTAAGGCAAAATCAGATGAAGAAACTTGCTGATGGTCAATGTGATTTTGCCAGCTGTCCCAGAGCATGCACACAAAGTATATGAAACAAACAAATGTCCTTATTACCACTATGTTACATTCTCATATGTTTTCCCTCTATACCATTTTAATTAAAAAAAAAACAGTCAAATGATAGCAGTAAAGTTATGTTTTAAGTTAATTCAGATTCACCATCTTTAATTGACTCTGCCTCAGTGCCTTGACTTCCAAGGACATGCTTAGGATGTCTCTTTTTCCCAAACACTATAGATGTTCCTTTGGTGAATTACATTGAATATGTTTATTATTTATAAATGTATCTTATTACTTTTATTCAGTATTTTATATACTTTTCTTCCAGAAATCCACAATTCTTTATGTTTGATTCCATTTGTTTTCCCAAGTTTAATCATCATACTAACCACATTTATTTATTGACTTTTAGCAAATTTGCCTTGCATATATTTCTCATGCCTGTTTTTAATTCTCTCTATTTCAAGTAGTATTCATTCCATTTTGCTCTAGTACTAATCCAGGTTTTATTTCTGTGGACTTATTTCATTCTGTATATTTCTTAGGTTTGCTGTGTTCTTGCCTGCTAACCCCTCTAAAAAAAGAAAGGAAGAAAGGAAGGAAAGAAGAAAGGAAGGAAGGAAGAAATGAAGGAAGGAAGGATGGAAGGACAAATGAACTACTAGTACTACTGTATAGGTGCAGTTTTTTGTTTTTGTTTTGTTTTGTTTTGTTTACTCTTTGGGGATCCACTACCTAGCTCCCAAATAAATACACAGAGACTTACTCTTGCTTATGAATGCCAGGCCTTAAGCTTGGCTTTTTTCTAACTTAAATTATCCCATTTCTCTTTAACTACACTTTGCCTCTGGAATTTTTACCTTTCTTTTTTGTATATATCTTTCTTTCCTTCTTACTCCATGGCTGGCTGGGTGGCTGGGTGGCTGGCCTCTGACATCCTCCTTTCCTCCTTTCCTTGCTCCTCACTCCTCTCTCCTCTCCTGAGCCTAGATTTCTCCTCCTATTTATTCATTAGACCAATCAGGTGTTTTAGACAGGCAAAGTAACATAGCTTTGCAGAGTTAAACAAATGCAACATAAAAGAATGTGACACACCTTTGCATCATTAAACAAATATTCCACAGCATAAATGAATATAATGCATCTAAACTAATATTCCACAACACTACTATCTCTTTTAAAAATTTTTAAATTTACATTTAAATTATAAAAGTTTTTCCTTATGCTTAATATGGTAGATTATGACTGTAATACTAGCAATTGAGAAGCTGAAGCAATAGGAACATGACAATCATTGTGAGACTTACCAGGTCTTTGAAGTAAGTTTCAAGACCTGTCTGGGCTAGAGTGAAATCATCTCAGAAAAATAAATGAATAAATAGATTAATTAACTAGTTAATTAATTATTTTTCTTTATTTAAGATATACATTTGCAAATTCCTTTTGTAATCCTGAAAAATCAATTTTCTTCAACATGTTATTCTTGAGAATTTTTATTACCACGTTTCCTGCTCTTTCCCTTGTCCTGGGAGTCTGTGCATTCCCAGGGTTTAGATGTGTTTGCTCCTGAGTTTCTTTTGAAAAAAGGTACTTGAGTCTGGGGCAGTTGTTTGCTCAGTAGTGATGAAAGCAACAGTTGGTATTGATCTAGGATTACAAGTCCAGCACAAAAATGCTGATCCAGCAACATTTGACATTTCCTCTTTGAAGTCAAGCCAACATCTAGAAAGGAGGTACTGACTCTCATAACCTTTAGATACTTTGTTTGATGGTTCAGCTCTGCTCAGCCAATTCAGTCCCTGGCTATAAAATCAACTGTGACTCAATTTCTGTTCTCTGTTATGATGTCCACCATGATGCCCTTCCTGAATTGCAAGCAAGAAATGAAGATTCTCTCCAACAACATTCTTCATCTTTAATGTTTCACTGAATTTCAGAAGGTAACAATGGAATAGGCCAATACTTTACCCCCTCCCCCATTTTCACCATTGAATATATCTCACTTTTTGTAAATTTAATCTATATCACTAATTTTAACATGTTTTCTTCTTTGGTTGGTCAGATCATCTGCTTTTCAGTTATAAACACTCTGTGAAGAAATTTTAAGATTGGATTCTCAGCACATGATGGTCCTGAATTTCCTCTTGCAAATTTAAGAAATTCTACTTTAGCAATGAAAGAACATTTGTATGTGTGAATGTGTGTGAAATGCAGTGTATGTGGGTGTGGTTTACATGCACATGTGTGTGCAGAGGCCAGAAAAGGGTGGTGGATGGTCTCCTCTGTATTAATCCTTTGAAGCAGAATTTCTCTCTGAGTCTAGAGGTGGTTTTTTCAGCTAAGCTGAAAAACAAAGTTCCCAGCAATCCTTTCTTTGACTCCTAAAAGCATTTCGTTATATGTGCATATAAGTCTACACCTGGCTTGTTAAATGGACATGGAGATACATGGGACTTCACAGTTGTACAGTAAGCACTCTTAACTGCTGAACCATCTCTCTGGCCCCCAATAGTAGTTTAAATCCCTTCAATACTCAAGTTTCTTGTGAGTCTTCATTTGTTTCCTATCCACATGGATGTATGAATGAAACCGTAAGACTATATAAATGCTTTCAAGTCACTTTTCTTCATTTTTGTCAACTGAAAATTTGATACATGTGTGTAACGTGCTTTGATCAAGCCCACCCTATGGACTTGTACTCTAATGTCATATGTTCTATGTCAGCAACAGAGAAATGAGAATGCTGGTTTAAGACTTGAGTATCAGACAGTGATTGGTTCATTCTAGCAAATACTGGCCTCATTGAGACATGCCAATTGCTTCTAAATTTGTCCGCGTGGTGCCATCTACGCTTTCGCCTTCCAGGTTTCCTATATCAGTGCAGTATTCTGTAGTGTTAGCAAAGCTGGGCCTGCAAGCCAATGGGGCCAAACACTGAGTACTGAATGACCCATGAGAAAACAATTATTTGTATATTGTCAAGTGGTTGGAGATGAAACAAAGTAAAAACAACTTTCCATGACATGTGAAAATTAAATAAAAGCCAAATGTCTCTGACCATAAGTTCCTATGGAGTACTGCCATGCCCGCACATTGTGTGTAGTTCCTGTGATGTTTTATGCTATACAGCATAGTAGAGTGCTTACAAGGGAAGAGCTGAATAGCATAAACATTTGCTATGGATTGAGTATGTGTTCAGACAGGTTTATTGATTTTCTCGTGGGTAATGACGAACTATCCCTCATGTTCCACCCACTTTTAGATCAAGCTTCCTTGTCATTCCATTTTCTTTCATGGTTAAAAGCAGCACACAGCCCTCTCTCTAGCACCATCCTCGTAGATTTCCCAGCCTGCAGACCCAGGAGCCAAAGTAAGCCTTCTTTCTTTATAAGTCACCTCATCTCAAGTACTCTGCTATAGCAATGAAAGACCATGACAGTATATCTTTATGACCAGCATATGTAATTTATTAGTTCTTAATTATTTCCCTACATCCAGAAATCACTTAAATTTGTTTTCTCAAATTTATAACTGAATGAAAGTTCTAGTTATCTACTTTTGATTATTGTTTTAAATTTTAAGTCATGCGTGATATGATGATCAGTTTCAATTACTAGAAATGTGCATATATTTCCATGAATGTATAATCTGTTTTCACAAGTAATTACTGAAGAACATGCTCTTTTCCCCCTATGGTGTAAAAATACTACATTTGTTCTTTAATTTCCTAGGCACGTTCTACATTTGGCTGATGGACCTGTCCAAGAAAAATGTGTCAAAATCTATTTTCCGGTGAATTTGAGAGTTTTGCTTTGTAATTCTGTCAGTTGATTCTTACTTTACAAAAGACTATTGCTTGAAAGATGGTGTAATGGCTTTTTATCACTGGAGAATTGAAATCATTTGTCAATATATGATTATTTTCATTTTTAACATTACATTTTGCTCAATGTTTAGTTTTCTATGTTCAAGGAGCAGTAAAGTTTGTTTTGGGTAGATTTCACCTGGTTTGTGTTTGCCTGGTGGTTGTCAATGTAGTTCTATCATTCGGATGAGGTTGGGCGTGTTTGGGTGGTTATGGCCATAGATATATTCTTATGGCAGTGATGGCTATATTTGGATTTATTATATCATGTTCCTTTTGACTTCACATGGAGTATCTGAAATTCCCAGTGGAGAGCTCTTGTTTTGACCTTTGTTCAGCATGACCTTAGCAAGCTCACAGATGTAGGGCTCAAAGATGTCCCTCCATATTACCCCAAAGTGTGGACAAGTGCAAAGAAACCGTGGAAGCTGTGAGTGACCCTGCAAGGTTCTCTCTTACCTGAGGTTTGCTTTGCCAGCTCTAAGAACTTAACAACTGAAAGATGTTTAGGAGAAGGTTCTGGCATAGCATGTTCACATGATTTGGGGGTACTGAGATCTTGGACCAGGTTCCTGAGAGAGAGAGAGAGTTTGACCGACTGTTATATGTGCAGGGTTTGACTCAGGCCCACTGTTTGTGCTGAGATTCCTGTCAGACAGAGGCGAAGCTGCTGAGAGCCTTCCCAGTCATCCTCAGGCTTGCGGCTGCTGCTTGGCCCAGGTTTAGAGCTGTTCCGCTTCGCGCTGCCGTCCCTGCTTTCTTCCTCTCTTCTATGCCAAGAATCACAGCTGTTGCTGCGTGTTGCCTGCTTTCCCAGGTGTTGTTTTATAGTCAGGATGATCATGGAATTTAAAAAGTGGTGGCAGTTTGAGTGTGGATAACCGAGCCAGAAAAGCAAAACCCGGTGCGTTCCAGCCATTACACCCCCCCTCTTGTTTTGATTATGCCAGAGGGAGACATCGTATTGGTGAGCCCTAGGGAATGATTTCAGGATCTTCACTTCCACTGGCTCTTATTTTGAGACTTGGTCTCTTTTCATTCACTTCAAAAGCAGCAACTTCAAAATTGATCCATGGACTGCAAATCTGAAATGTACTGTAGCTGGATACTATTAGTCACTTTTTTTTTACTTTCTCTTTTTTAACTTTAATGTCTAATCTGTTAAGATGTCCAACAGTCTAATATATAGTTTGATATATTTCTACTATTTTAAAACATACACCTGTGTGTACTTTTCACATAGATCAAAGCACTGGCTTCTGATCTTATCTCTTTGGAAGATTCTCCATGTTTCTTTCTGGCTTATACACCATCATGTATAACCACTTTTCTGACTTTTATAATGGCTAATTAGTTGTATATTTCATATAAACATGGAGTTAGTGGGGGTGGAATTTCTTAACCATATAAAACCTTAGTCCTCAAACTTTAATGGAATGTGAAGAAAAAATGAAAAATAATAACACACAGCACTAGAACCAACCTTTCTAAATAGTAGATAAAACAAAAACTTCCTAGAAAGCATGGAATTTAGTTATACACAAAAGAGGGTATATAGGTTTGCCACAGGCTACAGGAACACAGCAAATATATATAAAGGATTAACTGGAAAAGGAATCTACAATTGCCAAGAAAAACCTTAGCCTAAATATTGGTGCAACTGCAAAAGAAAATCCCATGAATATTATCTCATTACTGAAGAGGGAATTTAAAAGTATAGTTGAAAGTAAAATATTAATATGCAAATACATTGATTGTTCAAACATTATTTATGCTAAGTCAAATTCACACCTCACTAAAAAAATTAAAATGGGAACAGGTCCTTCTAAATTGCTTTCCTAAACATCTAAATATCAACTTGCCTAAAGAAGTCTCATGAAAACTTCATAGCAGTTACGCAGACCTTGACCCACTTTTCAGACTGCCTGTAGTTTCATGCATTGGCAAATCCTTGTTGGCTAGTTGAACTGCATCACATGGCTCATCCATTATTGATTATTTTCAGTTCTGAACACACACAGGAAGAAAAGAAAAGTGTTGTCTTCAATCTTCTCTCCTGTGGCATTAAGAGTGTATTATCTTTTATTGTGTATTGTAAGGTTTAGCCAAGTAAGTTAAGGAACATTAATGTCATAGACTTGTACTTTTGTGCAACCCCCACATCTGTCCCACAGTGGGAGGTCGTTCTTTTCTGCTGCCCCTTTGTTACTTTTAATGCTTCAGCTGCTACATTAAAATTAGTCTTGTTCATCTTTTCCTACCCTTCAGAAATATTCTATGGGATAGAAAGATGGCTTGGCTGTTAAGAGTGCTTCCTGCTCATCCTGAGAATTAGAGTCCTGTTCCTAACACCCACAATGGTAGCTCCTGACCACCTGAATCTCCACCCACATTTGGTAGATTTGGTGCCCTCTTCTGGCCTCTGCAGACCTCCACACACAGACACCATGTACTCATAGACACAGACACAGGAGAAAATAATGAGGATTTTATATGGAAAATGTTTGTTTTAGCCCAATATGTTGTTTTATATAGGATGGCAGCATTTTTAACTTTTATTTTTATTATTTATATGTGTGTAAGTGTAAGTGTATGCACATGTTTGTGGATACCTAAGGAGGCCAGTCGGATCCCTTGGAGCTAGAGTTAAAGGTCTTTCTGAGTTTCTTGGCTTAAGTCCTAGGAACTGAACTCTGAGTCTCCAGGAAAACAGCAAGTGGTCTTAGCCACTGAGCCATCTCTCTAGCCAAGGATTGCTGTTACAGTTCTTACAGCTGGGATGTGAGATGGCTCAGCAGGTCAGGATGATTGATGCTAAGCCTGAGGAATTCAATTCGATCCCCAGGACATGGTAGAAAGAGAGAGTCAACACCCACAAATTATACTTTAACCTTAATATCTTCCCCACAATAAATAAAAATATTAAAGAAGAAAGAAAGAGGGAGGGAAAGATGGAGATGGGAAAGGGGGAGGGAAGGACAGAGGGAGGAAGGAAGGGAGGGAGGGAGGGACAGAGGAAGGGAGGAAGAGAAGGAGGGAGGGAGGGAGAGAGGAAGGAAAGAAAGACCCAGACAGGAAGCTATTAAAGAGAGTCCTTTAAAATAGTGATAAAGATGCTAAAGTGTAGCTCTTCACGGTTTATGACTTCTGGCGCAGGGAGGAAAAGACTCCGTTATCTTTACGGGGCTGGTCACTAGGAGTTTGACCATGCTCCATTGAGTACATGGCAACACAAATTGGACCTGGTATGTGGGGGGGGGGGCACAAGGCTGGGAGGGTGGACTTGGGAGGAATGGGAAGTGAGTGATCAGGGTGCGTTGTATGAAATTCCCAAATAATCAGTAAACAATATGTTGGTAGAAAAATCATAATAAAACAAGTCAGGGATGCACAAAGAAAAAAAAATAAAAAATAAAATACAATCAAGAGCAAACAACAAAAGGGTCTTTCCACCTTCTGAAACACCATAATGACAGTTACAGGTGGAATACTGAGGCAAAAAAAACAGTTTGTAATAACCCAATATCACAGATGGTGGTTGGAGGAACCAGTGTTCAATATTCAGACCTGTGCTTCTAGGAGCTTTATACCTGTTAATAAACAGTAAGCGCAAAATTTGAGAACCTTTACTTACAGTACAGATATCAGCTTTTTTTTTTCCTTGCAAGCATCCTTTTCTGATGCACAGTGTAAAACACCATAGACAATACATAATGTGCAGGTGTGTGTGTGTGTGTGTGTGTGTGTGTGTGTGTGTGTGTGTACATGTACACAGGTGTCAATTCACATGTGGGTCTGCTACAATAGAGGCAAGAAGTCAACATTAGGCATTTTTTTCAATCATAATGAGCCTTAGTTTTTGAGACAAGACATCTGACTGAACTCTGGAGCTCACCAATTCACCTAGACTGGCTGACCAGCAAACCTCTGGAATCCAAGTTGACATGACCAGCACTGGGGTTACTGACATCAACCAGCATACCTAGATATTCCCATGGGTGCTGTGGATTCAAACTCAGGTCCTCATGCTCCCATAGCAAGTGTGTTAGTGCCTAAGCCAACTCTAGATCCCAAACTATCTTTTCATTAGCAGTTATCTTTTGATATGCTAGCCTTGAGATGACTAAAAATAATAAAATATATTTTAAATTATTGTTTAGTTTAACATGACTAGTAGTATGATAACTATAACGTGTGGTGATATTTTATTTGTGCTGAAATATGGTGATATTTTATTTGTGTGTTAATAAATGAAGCTTGCCTAGAGATGGGGGGGGGGAAGGCCAACCATTTTAAATAAACAAAGAAGTCAGGCAGCACATGCCCTTAATCCCTTAGCAGGCAGGATCTCTGTGTGTTCAAAGCCACACTAGGGAACAGAGCCAAGTGTGGTGACACACACCTTTAATCCCAGTACCAACCATAGAGACCTGAAAGTCTGTACAGATAGACAGACAGTGACAGAGCTGTGTAGGAAGAGGAAGTGAGGTAGCTGGGCTAAGAACCAATAAAAGGGCAGAAAAGCAAGGCATATAAGCCTGGGTAGACAGGAAGTCATTCTCTTTGGAAGCTGTGGAGTTGGTGAGATAAGGTTAGCTGGTGGCTTCCCGTATTTCCCTGATCTCTCTAAGGCTTTAACCCAAATTTCTGGCTCTGTGTTTTTTATTTAATAAGACCATTTAGAAATTCATCTACTCAGTGAATGGTTACCACACTGAAGAATGTACACAGAAGAATCTCCATGACTTCCAAAGGTTAGACTTGATATCCTTAGATTTGTCTTAAGTATTTGAAATGCTATTGGGACAATATCCAGAAAGGCCCATTTCAATTGCTAATCCTCACCAAACTCCATTTATACAAAAGAGGGAATTCTGGGAATTTTGAACATTGTGTTTTTTACTTATAATGGGTATTTATAATATTTGATTTTTTTATTAGAAAACTATGAAATGTAACTCAGTCTTCTTACTGTATGAATTTTACAACCTGTAATTGAGTATATGATAC